TGAGGAATGTTACTGGTACTTTGATTGGGATTTTGGTAAATCTTAAATCAGTTTTGAAAGTGTGGCTACTTTGACTATATTGGTTCTGCCTATCCAAGGACAGGAAATACCTTTTCATTTTCTGATACCCTCCTGCTGTACAGCCAAATTTGGTAATTAATTCTGGGATTCTTTTCATGAACTTTTTAGGGTCTTATAAGTAGATCATGTCATCTGCAAATATTGATGATACTTTGACTGTATCCTTTACTGTACATATCCTTTTTACTTCTTTCTCTACTTTCTCTTGTCAGATGGCTCTGGCTAATGTTTTGAGGGCTTCGTTGAACAGGAGTGGTGAAAGTGAACATCATCATCTTGTTCCTGATTTCCCTGTTTAATAGAGTGTTGGCAGTGGTTTGGTCATAAATGGCTTTTATTAGATTGAGATAAAGCCCTTTTATACCTGTTTGGGTTTTTTTGTTTTTAGTATTTTTTCATGAATGGATGTTGGATTTTGTCAAAGATGTTTTCTTCATTTATTGAGATGATGATGTGATTTTTGTCCTTGATTCTGTTTATGTGATGAATTATATATATTGGTTTATTGAACTGCCCTTCCACACTGGGATAAAGCCTATTTGGTCATGGTGTTTAAACATTTTGATGATTTACCTTGATTTACCAGTATCTTGTTAAGGGTTTTGTTGGTTTGGTGTGTTGTGGTGTGGTGCAGTTAGGTTTAGGTTTTGAGACAAGGTCTCACTCTGTAGTTCAGCCTTGCCTTCTGCTCCCAGGTCCCCGGCGCTGTGATTACAGGCTGGCTCCTTGTTAAGGATTTTTCATCTGTATTCTTTAATTAGCCTTATAGTTCTTTTTTTTTTGTTTGTTTGAATCCTTGTCTGGTTTTGGGATCAGAGCAGTGCTAGCATGAATGATTTTGGAAGTACTCTTTCCTTCTCTGTTTCATTTATTCTTTAATAGCATTGTCATTAGTTTATTCAAGATTTTCAAGTCTTTCTGCTTCAATTTTGATAATTCACATGTATATAGGAATTTCCATTTCTTCTGAGTTCTCCATTTTTTTCAGTGTGCAGGTTTGCAAAGTAGTTGTAATAATTTTCAGGATTTTGGCAGTGACCTTTGTGATTTCATCTTTTTCATTTCTAATTGCATTGACTTGTGTCTTTTTTTTTTTTTTTTTTTTGGTAAGATTGGCTAAGGGTTTGTCTATTCTGTTTATCCTTTTAAGGAACCAGCTCATCATTTTCTTTTTCTTATTCATCTCCATTTCATTAATTTATATTCTGATCTTTATAATTTCATTCCTTGTACAAGGTCTATATTGGGATTATTCTTGTTTTCCTAAGATTTTAAGGTGCATGATTAGGCTATTTATTTGGGCTTGCTCTATTTCTGATGCAGGAATTCATAGCTATAAACTTCTTTCTGAGGACTGGTTTCATTGTGTTCTGTAGTTTTCCAGTATGTTGTACTGGTAGTTTGTGTGATTCTAGCAACTTTCTAATTTCTTCCTTGATTCATTGATTATGCAAGAGGATATTGTTTAATTTCCATATGTTTGCATACTTTCAATGGCTTCTTTTGCAGCTGGTTTCTAGTTTTCATTGCACTATGATCTGGTACATGAATGTCTGGTGATATTCATGTGACACCTTCAGTTCTTTTGCATTTACTTATGCATGGCTTAGGGCCAGAATGTGGTCGATGCTGAAGAAAACCCCATGTGCTGCTGAGAAGAATATGTATTCTGTTGTAGTTGGATAAAAGTCTATAGATATCTATGAAGTGCATTTGTTGAAGATTTGGCTCAACTTTAAAACTTCTTTCTTTCTTCCTTCCTTTCTTTCTTTTGTCTAGTTCATCTGTTTGTGAAAGTGGAATATTGAGTGTCCCATTATAATTGTGTTGGTACTTACCTAATTTTTTTTTTTAATATTTTTTTTTACCTTTTCATCAGTACCAGGGATCGAACTCACGACTGCCTGCTTGCAAGGCAGGTGCTTATGCCACTGAGCTAAATCCCCAGCCCCGGTTCAGGCTGACCTTGGACTCAATTTGTTGCCCACACTGGCCTCTAACTTGACACTCTTCCTGCCTCAGCCTCAGTGTTAGGATTACAGGCACTGCGCCACTGTGCCCAGCTTTCTTCATCAATTTTAAAAGAAAGTTTTACAGGATGTGTAAGTCAGAGTTGGACATTGTTACTTTTCAGGGCTTGAAACACTTCACTCTAGGCTCACCTGACCTTCAGGTTTGTGTTGAGAAATCTGCTATAATTTTAAAGAGTCTACCCATATAAGTGATTCATTGCAGTTCTCTAACAGCTTTTAAGATTCTGTCCCTGTGTTACTTCTGGTATTCTGACTATGATATGATGTGCATAGGTTCTTTTTTGATTGTGGCTATTTGGGGTTCTGTATGTCTCGTTTTTCTGTATATTTAATCTTTCCCAATATTTGGCAAGTTTTTCTGCTATTCTTTCTGTGAATGGATGTTTTATGCCATTATGCTGTCTTTGCTTATCTCCAGTTAAGCTCAGGTTAGTCTTTCATCATCTAGCAGCTGATGAAGCCAATTTCAATGTTCTATTCTTAAGGTATCTCTGGTAAGTGGTCCTTGCCATTTGTTGTAATGGTATGTCTAAGTAAATTTACTCATTTTTTTCTCTTCATTTTGTAGAACTGAGCATTAAACCCAGGACATCTGCACTGAACCACAGCCCCAGCCTTTTTTATCTTTTGAGACAGGTTTTAAGTTGCTAAATTATGCATGCTAGGTTTGAATTCCTATTCATCTGCCTCAGTCTCTCTAGTACCTGGGATTCCAAGTGTACACCACTGCACCCAATTGAGTTTTTTAATTAACTTTGATCCCATATTTTAAGAAATAAATAACAAATGACAACAATGGTTGTCTGTGGCAGAGGTGAGATTGTCAGGGTCATGAAGGAATTTTTTGGAATAATGAGAATGTTCTATAATTTGCTGGGGAAGTTGTTTACCTAGGTCTGTTTTTTTTTCTTCAAAACCTCATTGAATTGTATGATTAAAAGGGGCTGGGGATTTAGCTCAGTGGCATAAGCGCCTGCCTTGCAAGCATGTGGTCGTGAGTTTGATCCCTGGTACCGGTAAAAATACAAAAAAAAAAAAAAAAAAAAAAACTTACTGGATTTTATTATATGTGATAATATAAACAAAAACTTTTATAGACAATGAGATTATACAGAAACCATTGTTCATTTTCTGTTAGTTGGTTCTAAATACCCTGTGATACTGTCATTCTCTTGAATGGTTTTACATTGTCTTGATATGTTTGATGCTAGAGTACACAAAGTTATACTCAAAGATTTCAAGGAAAGAGACACTATGGTAACTACTTTTATGTTGGGATATCTGGTGGTGAAACACTATTTTGCTTAAATGGCTATGCTTTGACCTGCACTGTTTTGTTGTTATGTCCTCTTTTATCTCAATCTCCTTTTTTTAGTTTTATCTTTTTAATTAAGGGAAAAACAACAAAAAAAGCAGGATATATTATAGTAACCCACTTTGATTTCCTATTAACTTGATTTGAAACCCTGTATTGCTCTCTCCATCTTGTTTTGACTGATTTTCCTCTATTCTGTTTTGCTTGATAGTACCAAGTTTGAGAGTATAGGCAACAACTGTGAAGACAATAAGATTCATTATGACGCCCATTCTGGTTTGACTATTATCTTCTTTTGAAGTCTTGTAATGTCTCCAATGTTTTGGTTTTATTGCTTTTGTTCTTTACTGTTTTGTTCAATTTTATTATAACTGATGATATAGGCAATTCTTTTTAAGATAACAAGAGGCATTATGGTAACCATTGTTGATCACCTTGTATTTTATTTTTACAGTATGTATTATGTCCATCCTTTTGATTTGACTGACTCTGTTTTATTATGTCACATTTGGTTTTATTCATTTCAAAAAAAGTAATAAGAACTGTGGGAGTAATAAAACCCAAAATGTGTAATTGTCATTGTACAAAACAGAGGAAAAGAAAGTGCTCTAAAGATGTAACTGCATGTATATTTAAGTGTATAAGATAGATAACCATATTACTGACTTTTGTTGGATCATTGAACAGAACTGTTTGCAGTCTCACTGTTTGAAAGTCCAGTTTATATGCTTTAATTTTGTAACTTGAACAACTATTTCTAAGATGACAATATGTAATCTATTAACTAGTGATTTCCTACTGTTTATTTTTTCTGAAATTCGGTATAACTTGTACCCTTTTTCTGTTTTTTTTCTTTTTCTCCTTAAATTAAAAAAAAAAAGAAAAAGATCTTACGACACTCTAAAGTTTAGCTCAATTTAAAAAAAAACAATGTATACGTAGATAGATCTGCAAGACATTCAAAAGGTACACCATAGAACGAGACATACAATATGCTACCATTTATTTTTGAAGGAAGGGTGGATGAATGTATGGATGATCGCTGGGTAAAGTGACTTATTTCTGTTGACTCCATGCTCATGCAAATGTATCAAGGATCTTGGACCTGACCACTCTGTTCTCTCATTCTTCCTCTGATGTCACGTATATGCTCTTAGGCCTTTTTTCTGGGATGAAAAAAATTTCTGTTATAATAACATCAGCATAAATGTCATTTTCTGTGCTGATTATTATATTCACTAATATTCCTCATTGAAGAAAGGTATTCAATTTCTGAAAAATTTTTAACTTAAAAGAATCCGTACTGGAAACCAATGTGTGGAGCCAACTCTGATCTGGAAGCGGCGATGGGTCCTTGCATTCTTGCTCTGCCCTGCTGCTGAAGAGTCAAGAGTTTTGGCATCCAGAATTCCATCTCTCTGGCCTGTGTGCTTGTGAAAGTGAGCAGTTCGAACCAATGACTGAGGGTCTTGTGGACTTGAGGGTCCTGTGCAGGCCTTCCATAGAACGGGTCAGTCAGCCTGCAAGGCACATGGGAAGTAAGCTCTCGGACTTTTTGTGTTTTGAAACAGGTAACAACCAAAGCCAAGCAACTGAAGGATTCTGTTACCTGCTCCCCAGGTGAGTCAGTGCCCACCTTAACTTATTACCTTAAAGTGGTGTCTTCCAAATGAACCCCTTTTTATAATAACTTCCTGAAATACAAGAGTGTGATCATTTCATCTAATGAACCCAACTCTTTCTGATCCCTTTTAAAAGGGACTAAAGTTCAGGCCCCTGACAAGCCAACCTATCCCTGCAGACAGCTGGCACGGAGAGAAGCATTTAGTGAGTTTAAAGAACACTGCAATTCTTTCCCTGTAGTACTTGCAGGAAGGGACCTACAGGAGAACACCAACCTGCACATCACACAAGTACCCTGTGCTGCGGCCGGGGATTTAGCCCAGCGGCATAAGTGCCTTCCTGGCAAGCACGAGGTTGTGAGTTCCATCCCCAGCACCACACACACACACACACACACACACACACACACACACACAGAAGTACCCTGTGCTGTTTTCCTGTGCAGTCCACCATCATCACAGACAACGTGCTACCCTCGGGACAGATGAGTAGCCCCCACCCCAAGAATTTGTTTCTCAAAATCTAGAGTCTCAGGGACGTGTGGTAGATTCCTGTAGTGCCACACTCAGGAGGCTGAGGCAGGAAATTGCTGAGAGTTCAAAGCCAGCCTGAATTGCATAGTGAAACTGTCTTAAACAGAAAACCCAAAAAAACATTGATAAAGGGAAGAAAATATAAATCATAGATAACCTACCCTTAATGTCATCCTTTTAGCACTACAAAGTGGTTCATAATATAGACACTTCTCAGTTTGTTTAACAGGTTCCTAGTATTGAGCATTTTAATTCTTTCTTACTTTTCTTTCCTTCTCTTTCTTTTTTTGAAACAAGCTCTCATTTTTACCCAACCTGGTCTTGAACTCAAGCCACCTGGAGGTAGGGCACAGGCCATCCCACCACACCCTGCTTCCTTTTTTTTTAATTATTAATGAAGTAGTGGTCTCCAAAGTGAGGTACAGCATAGTGCCTGCAGGAACACTATGTTGGGGTTTCTCCTGAGTTTTATTGTATTGAGAATAATGAGAAGAGGGGTCTGCTTTCTCGTACCTAACACACTGGCCTATGCTGTGCCCTGTCTGTATCCTGACGCAGGGCATGTGTCACGTGGGTGCCAACATTTCCTGAGGGAGGGTCGCCCCTCTCCGCAATTATTCTGTTTCTGCCAACATAGTGCACAGAATACCTGCAGAGCACATTCACCAGAAGCTCTGGGGTCATGTTTTCAATGAGGTGGACAGTGACCAGGGAACAATCTGCTGTCACATGGAGACTTCCTCATATTTAACAAAGTGTTTGAAAAAGTTACGGAATTTGAATTTCACATTTTTAATCAAAAGTGTTCTAAACTTAGTGCCCAATAGCAAAAATTTTCTGTGGAGTAAAGAGGACTTACTAATAATGAATATGAAAGCAATTATTTTGAAAGATTTAGAAAGAATGTTTTGAAAACAGATTTCTTAAAAATAGTTCCTGTGTTGTCTGGGGCTATTTTGTGGTCAATGATGTGGCATAAAAACTACAGACCACAGAATGTTCAAAATAAGATTTTAGCTTATAGATCCTCCAGACAAAATCACATTAAAAATACAAACATGTCAACATTGTCCCTAGTTTGCTTGTTTGCTTGTTTGTTTTGGTACTGGGCATCAAACTCATGACTGCGCACTTGCCAGGCAGGCACTTATGCTGCTCATGCCAGAAACACCCAAAGGACCTTTCGACAGGACCTTTCCCAGGAACTAATGGAGAGCTCAGAGACTAAGAAACCCAGCAGACATTGCTTTTTGTTGTTGTTGTTTGTTTTGGGGTTTTTTTGTGTGTGGTCCTGAGAATGAAACCCAGTGACGTTACCACTGAGACACACCCCCAGCCCTTTTCATTTTTTGAGATGGTGTTGCTAAACTGACATTTCATAATGAATGCTGTGTTAGTGGTGTATGGCTCTGGTGCACGAAGAAGCAAATAGGCAGATCACAATTGTATGTTCACAGTGTTGACGGAGTTGGTACTCACAGCAGTGATGGGGACCGGAGCCACTCGGAGAGGTGTGGAGCTGAGCCATGACCAACCCACAGGGCAGAGTGCTGCACGGCCACTAACAGCAGCAGGGTTCCCACCACAGTGCACATGGTCCCGAAGCACGCGCTGCCCTCTCAGAAGGAAGGGGAGGGAAGTCAGGGTCCCCTGCACTGGGTGAACTGTGATGCTCAAGTCCACTTTCAAGCTTCCCAGTGGAGCTACTGAAAATTAAGGTTCAAATGAGTTGGAATGAAATACATGTTAAATGGAGTTGCGGTGTGTGTACCATTGTGTATACCATGTTGTTGACATGTTTTGAAATTTTGTTTCTTTTTTTCTTTCTCTTCCTTTTCATCCTTAAATAAAACGGATTTTTTTAAAAAATGAGTGGCTCAGTGGCAGATAAAATGGTACCAACAGCACAGATTTGAGGGTGGATGACGATCTTGCCAAGTCACTGAGCCAAGTACTCCCAGACTGGGGTTCACTAGGCTTCTGAGCACCCTGCAGTCTCCACGTGTTGGGGCGTCACAGAGTGGTTTGTTAGCTCAGGGCCAGACCAGTTTCTGTTCCAGAACCAACCTACTGTGCTGCCACCTATCTCTGTACCTTTGCCAGGACTGGAGATTGTAATTATTTCCTTTTTTAAAAAATTTGTTTCCTACTTTCTAATCTTTGCCAGCTGACTGATTGGAAGGTGGGCATTTGTTGTTTCACTTTGCATGTGGCTAACAGTTTTTAACTATTTGTATTTCTTCCTTTGTGAGGTAAAATGTTTTAACTTTTTAACAAAACGCTTTCTGCGCATTTCAGCGCCTTTGACAGCCGCGGGGGCAGTGGAGGACAGCGCGGGCCCACCTGCCGCAGCCTCTGGCTGTTGCCGTCCTACCAGGGCTCTGTGTCCTTGGATCACGGCCCACTCTGGACTCCCTAGGCCCTGGGCTCAGGCAGTGGTGTCCCCTCAGTCCCCTGCTTCCTCCCCAGCCGCCTCCTCCTAAAACAGCTGGGAGCCGGTGCGTGGGGAGCGGCTACGGCTGGCTGTGCGCTGTGGCTGAGACCTCCGCATCTTCCTGTGCTGTGCCCTCTCCTAGGAATGATCAGGCTCTCCGAACTCAGGTCCTCCGCCCAGACCCCCAGGCCCACGAAGGCAGCGGTGGCCCTACCTGATGACATAATCACCCAGCGGGAAGAGGACACCACGCAGGGCTCTCAGGTCCCCGAAGGCTGCGAGGCCCGGGTGCGGAGGCGGCTGGAGGAGAAGGAGAAGGCCCGCGGACGGAGGCAGAGGGACTTCGAGGAGGTGGTGGCGCCTCAGGCTGAGTCCAGTGACGAGGAGGAGGAGCCGCGGGAGCAGCTGTGGACACAGGGCCAGCAGCGGCTCCTGGAGCTCGCGCTGCAGCAGTACCCACGCGGTGCCGCCGACCGCTGGGACAGGATCGCCCGCTGCGTCCCCGCCAAGAGCAAGGTGGGTGCGGCCCAGCCCTGACCCCTCTTCACTGCCTTGCTGTCTTCCTGGGGCAGGCCAGCCTGTGCCAGGGCTGCACAGAGATCACACACACACACACACACACACACACACACGTGCTTGTTACGTCGCCCAGGCTGGCCCTGAACTCGCCGTGGTCCTCATCCCACAGCCACAGCCTTCCAGGGCATTTGTCATCACACCCAGCTAAAATTCCAGTCGTGGAGCTTAACCCTCTCCTGCACTGAGCACGCTAGGTCCCTGGCAGCCAGTAGGGCAGCCGCGTGACCATGGCCCTCGAGGCTGCAGCAGGTCTGTGACCCAGAGGGGCTGGGCAGGACCTTGGGTGCCACCAAGATCTGGAGGGACCTGCCCTGTAACCTGTGTTGTGTGTGCCCGGCTTCAAGGTCTCCTTCTCCAGTGCTGGGCTCTGTAAAGTGCGTCCAAATACAGGGGGCAAAAGGGTGTGGGCTTCAGGCCGCGGGAACAACTGCAATCCACCCAGGCCTGGCATCCTGGGTCCCCACTGCAGCGGGCCAGATGTGTCCTCTGGCTGGGCAGGGAACCTGAGGACCCAATCTCTGGTGCATCAGAGCTCATTTGATTTTTTTAAAATTGAAATTCCATGTCAGGAACCCAGCTTGGGGCCATGTGTCCCTAGACGCACAGGTCTAGATATCTGGCACCCCCTTGGAAATGACAAGGGTCCTGGGGAGAAGAATGAGCCGTTACCGGAAGACCCCTGGGATGGTGGGTTCTCCTCGGCTCTAACTGATTTGCCAAGAGCCCTGATTTTCCCTGAGTTTCTGTAGCCTCCTCAGGACAGGCCGTGAAATGTTGATGAATTTGTTGCCTTAAACTGGGGGAACTGTGACAGGACCTCGTCGCCCGTGGCCCTGTCTGTCCTATTTCACCCAGCAGTGTCCGCCTGGTGACCCCTGAGCTTCGACTCCACCCCGCCTGCTCACCATCCAGCATGTGGTAGTGCCTTTGCCACCTGCCGAGCGAGCGCGCAGTCCTTCCAAAGTTCCAAGGGCTGAGGGTCCAGGTCCACCCGCAGCGGGGCCCCAGTGCCCTCTGTGGCCGCACGCTCACCTCCCGCCTCTCCTGCAGGAGGACTGCATCGCCAGGTACCGGCTGCTGGTGGAGTTGGTCCAGAGGAAGAAACAAGCAAAAAGCTGAGCGCACCCAGGACAATGCCCGCCTTCGTTTTTCATAAGGAATATTTGCAAAACTCTACACAGAAACTTGTATTTTGTACCTCAGTATTTCTATACGTCATGTGCCTTAGTAAAGAAATAAACCCATGAGAGACCTATACGCTGCTGTCGGGGAAACGATCCCGTGTTCGGGTGAAGGCTGGGACGCGGGTTTTCTTTCTCCTCGCCAAGGAGGTTACCTTTGTTATTGTTTTTTGGTACTGGGGATCGAACTTATGACTTCGTGTTTACCTGGCAGGTGCTTATGCACTGAGCTAAATCCCCGGCCCACGAGGGTTACTTTTGGAGGAAAGTTTCACACAGTGCATTGCAGCAACCAGAAGAGGTCATCAAAGGGGCAAGGACCCAATCCGAGTGCGTCTGCTTGGTGACAACAGGTCTTGGTGTTTCTCCCTAAGTCTTCAAAAGCCCCACACTGCTGCGAGAGATCCTGAAACAGTCATTGGCAAAGCAGGGCCTGGCGCCATTTGGGGACCAGGGCTGGAGGTGGGCCTCGGGGTGGTGGCCTCCGCTGAGGCGCAAGGCCTTGCAGGGGGTACCTGGCACTGCAGTGGTGTCTGAAGCTCAGGGACGTCTCCTCCTGGTGCCTCCTGCCTTGGCCAGCAACAATTCCAGGCTGCTGTTTTTTGTTTTTGTTTTGAGACAAAAGCCATTAAAAGCTATGAAGTCTAGGCTGGCCTGGTAGCCCAGGTTGGTCACAAACTCTCAGGGCTCCTGCTTTAGCTCTCCAGCTCCTGGGGCTGCGGTCTGCAGGAGCCAAGCAGCAAACGGCCAGTGAGTTTCCTGGCGTCTGGAACAAAGCGCGTGGTTCAGGTAGGACTCAGGGAAGGCAACCCCTGTGGGAAAAGCTTCCTAAGACAGCGTGACCACAGAAGCTGGGTCCAGTCCCCAAGACCAGACTGCTCCCCCCGCCCCTCACACACACAGCTGGAAGTGCAGCCCCTTTCCCTGCACCCCTCGGGGGTGGCAGCTGAGCCGAACCGCTTGTGGGGGGGGGCTTTCCCAGAATCCTCCAGGACGGGAACAAGGCTACAATTAGTGGGCATGATCTGTCAATCACAGGCATCCAGGGCATGCGCAGAAAAAATGGTGGGAGGGTCCTGCACTCGGGCCATCAGGAGGCACAGTCTAAAGTTATGGCCCGAGAGCAAGCTGGTCTGCGGTAGGAGGCGTCAGCTCCAGACTTCCGGCTGCACTGCCTTTCCCCTCATGTGTGCGCTGTGGAGCCGCCCTCTTCTACCTTTGTGCATGGAAGACTCTGCTACCTTGCTGCCTTGTTTTTTTTGTTTGTTTTTTTTTTGGGGGGGGGTTGATATATTTTGCCCACTTCTTTGTTCAGGTCTCCAAGAATCTGGAAGAATCTCTGAAAAGTCCCCACAACACCCCAGGACCCAGGTAACAAAAGGTGCCACGAAGGCCCCTGCGCCCTCTGAGTGATCCCTAGAGTGGGCGGCCTGAGGATGCCTCTGTGGTCCCAGCACTCGCGAGACCCTGTGTCAGAAAATAAAGGAAGGAAGCAGGAAGTGGTGGTGCACTCCTGTAATCCCAGTATTCAGGAGGCTGAGGCAGGAGGGTTGGTCGAGACCAGCCTGGGCTACAAAGTGAGCTCAAAGACTAAAAATAAAGCAAGGGAAGGCAGGAAGGCTGGAGGTGTAGCCCGGTGGGAGGGCTGGCGTTGAATTCCCAGTGGGGAATGAGAGGCCTCCCAAATGAAAAAGTAACCACACACAGGATTCCCACGGATCACTCCCCAGAACTCCACCCGGCCAGGATCGCCTGCTCTGTCTGCCTGTCTGTCCCCAGGGACCTTGCCCTTGTCCCCACGCTTGCTCTGCTTCCCCACTCACCCCACCCAGTCTTGTCTCTACTGTGTCACGTGGCTTTGCCCGGGGTTTGGGGTGATGGCGGCGTAGCCTTGCCATCAGCTGGGGCCGAGGGTATCTCTGTTCCACCCAAAGCCAACTCAAGTAGCGCGGGCACAACTTCAAGTCCTCCGTGCCCTGGGAAGGGTCCCAAATCCCCGCCATGCTGGGCAGTGCTGGCAACACTACCTCCAGCTGCCAGCACTGGCCACGCCCGACTTTCCCATCCTGGGCCCCGGCGTTTGTTCCCATAACGGAACTGCCCTTCCCGAGGGATCCGGTCACTCAGGAATCCACACATCCGGTTCACAAACCTCAACCATGGCCAGCGGTACCCAGCGTCGTCCCTAATGTGTATGTATTTTGACTACATAAGAAGAGTGAGAGAAAGTTTAAAACATGTTTTACAGTTTTTGTTTTGTTGTTTTGAGAGACTTCCCATGTCGCTCAAGCTGTCCTCACTCGCAGGGATCCTTTCGCATGCTGGGGTGACAGGCGTGCACTGCCACCCCAGGCTTTCTGATGTATGTATTTTAACAACTGGGCTTGGCCGTGTGACAGGGTTTCCTTCCTAGCCCTCAGTTTTTAAAAAATGTGGTCAGTGTTATCACAAGGACCTCTGCCATCTAACAAATGTCAGCAGTCACACAGACAGGTTAGGAGGGCCCTGAGAGGCTCCAGAAACTGCAGTTACGTGACTCCAGCTCCAGACTCCAAAGCAGCCAGAGAAACTGGCCAGACTAACTCTGGTGAGGGATCTCTTTTAGTGCTACTGCCAACCCCAGCCGTGACCAAACCCAGTGACACTGCATTACAAGGAGTCACCGTGTGCAGAGTTGCAATAGAAAAAAAGATTTCCTTTGTTGCTAATCACCAGTAACAGTAACAGTAACAATTGTCCCCCAACCTCACCAATGTGAAACTCATTTCAAAGGAGGATTTCGGGAGCTGCAGACAAGAACACTTGACTATCTTGCATGAGGAACCTGAGTTCCCAGCCCTGCAAAAAAAAAAAAATATATTTCCAAATGTTTATAAAAATTCACAGCTGGAGCTGGGGATATAGCTCAGCAGCCAAAGTGCCTGGCAAGCGTGAGGTTGTGAGTGTGATCCCCAGTACAAAAAAAAAAAAAAAAATTAAAAAACCTCATAGCTGTTTCATCCTGAAAGCCTTCTTTTTAATCTATACAAAATATGGTCTCGGGGCTGGGGATTTAGCTCAGCGGCATAAGCACCTGCCTTGCAAGCAGGCAGTCGTGAGTTCGATCCCCGGTACTGACAAAAAGGAAAAAGACAAGACAAAAAAAAAAAAATATATATGGTGTCATCAGCTAGGCTTGGTGGTGAACTCCTGCTGTAATCCCAGCACTCAGGAGACTGAGATAGGAGGGTCCCTGCAAGTTTTGAGACCAGCCTGGACTACAGTATAGTAAAAGGCCAATCTGAACTGCCTGGTGACTCACTGTCTCAAAAAAAAAAACGACAAAAAGATGTTGCCAAAGTGCACTTCATTTTCAGGAAGTGAAACAGATGGATGAAAGGCTTACCACAATTTCTATGAAAAGGTTAGTCTGTCCACTTACAAGTAAAGCTGCTTGCGCGTCTCTGTGAGGTGCCTTGGCTCTGCAGTTCCCAGCCCCTCCTGCCATGGTGGTGCCTCCTACCTAGTGAGGTACCTCCTACCAGCTTAAAATTAGTTGGTGGCTTCCTTTCCTTAGCCTGGACATGCAGCCCAGGCCACACATCTCCAGGCTGACACAGAGGCCCCTCGGCCAGAACAGTGACAGGTAACCCCATACCCAGAGTGCACATGCCACCCCGAGATCCAGCACTCACAGGAGCCCCAAGTGTACCTCAGCAGGAGTGGCTTCTGGTGCACCACCGTCATGGTGTCAACCTTGGGGACAGGACTTTCTAGATCAGAGTCCCTGTCTGTACAAGAGAAAACTTCAGACCTGGAAAAATAAACCATGAGCCTCCCCACCGCACTCAAGTTTCGAGTCATGGAGTCTTGCAGAAGCTTGGGCCCCTCCATTTCCGAGGGCACCACAGTAACTGGTGCCTCTGAGACCCAGAACCACACCAGTGGTGCTTCTCTCCAGCAACCAGAGGTCTGGCCCTAGTCTAAAAAAGCAAGTCTGATCAGAAACAGCCAATGTTTCATTTTTAAAATCATTCCCCTGAAAGACAGCCCAGGGCATCCAGCCTCCTTGCGCACATCCCGCACAGCCACAGCCCCACATCCCGAATCCACTGGAAATGGCTCCCTTTCATGGTCATCAGGACTTGGGGAGAGCCAGAAGCCTTGGGGTGCCAGATCTGGCCATTAAGGTGGACAAGGACACAGCATGGTGTCTTTAGGAGCCTGCCTTTCTGCTGATGGGCACTCACCTCATACCACACCTCTAAAAAGACACTGGTGAAAAAGAACTTTGAAACGGCTGCAGAAGAATTTACAGTGAGGGGGACTTCTACTGTGATAAATTTTTAAAGCTGAAATATCCACTTGTATTTTGATCACACCTCATATACAGAGGAATGTAACCTTTACTGAATATGCCTGCTGCAGTTACCATGCAGTAACTGATGGTCTGTTTGTGACTTTGCTTTCAACCCCATGTTATGGCTTGGTGTAGGTGTCCCCCTAAGCCTCATGCAGTCGTAGTTGAAGCTTCTCAAAGGCTGCTGGATCTAGACACTGATTAATTTGACATAGTTCTGCGAGTGGGGAACAGGAAGGTCCACCCTGGTGTGTGTGCTGCCTGCCCCAGGAGTGAGTAACCTGGATGCAACATAAGGGACAGAAAGGGCTGCTGCGGTCACTTGTTGCTTGCTGCCTGATGCCTGGCCTGGTTTGCCATGAACTGTTTCTCTGCCATTCACCCTGTGCTGGAGTGAGCCAATTGAAACCTCTACAAACTGAGCCAAATAAATCTTTCCTCCTTTAACTTTGAGTATCAGGTATTTTGTCTCAGCAAAAAGAAACACAAGATGTCCCACTAAAGTTATTTCTCTACTAATGCACACTCAGACCTTGGCCCCTCTCTCCTCTAGCTGCCAATCACCAGCACTCAGGGTGGACTTGCGCTCCACACGGATGCCGAGGTCCGGTCAGTGCCACATAGATGCAGAGTGGACCTGGACTACAGGTCCAAACCACCCACAGGAGGACTCAGAACCCCAGACACCAAATTATATGGCACCAAATTATAAACATCATTAAATTTTATTAACAAGTTTGTACATTTTAATACATGTGGAATTTTACATCTAGGCAAAATAACAACACATTGAAAATTTACTATTTATACAAATTGTTACAGAATACCAACCAGTGGGTTAAATAAGTAAAATAAGCCACACTGATTTTTTAAATTATCTACAAAAGGTTTGACTTTCTTTAAAATTCCCCTGAACATATAAAAATAAATTAACTTTACTTTTCAATTAATTCTACCAATTAGAAATATTACAAATCAAAATATCAATGTTATCTTATGAATTTTTCACAATACAAAACAGATTCACAAAACCTTATGTACAGAAATGAGGTAAGAACTGTGCAATGTTTAACCAGGAGACATATTGCAGAGTCAGCGTGTTCTTCCAGCTCAGTACACAGTGGAGGTCTGATCCCAGCTGGGCTTCCTGCTCGTCACTCAGCTTTCAGACATGAGTGCACCTGTATCTTGGGTGTCGCAAGGAAAGTGTGGCTGACGGTGTGGCCAGCCAGTCTGCACGGTTAGTACTGGGAAGTTTTAAGTAAAACAAATGCATAATCTCACCAAACCCCCTCAGTGGTGAAAGGGCTGCACTCAGCCCTGTGGGGTGCTGAGCCTCCCAGCAGGGCTGTGCCTGTTGCAAGGCGGGGTGCTGGAGCCCTGAGCTGCTGCCTTCGTGAGGCAAAGCTGCCTCGTGCAGCCTTTCTGAGAGCCGGCTTTTGCTGTGCACTGACCCTGCTCCCTGCAGCCTAGTACTTGCTTTCTCTGGCTCCCTAACTATGAGCAGGTTTTGACACTACAGAAGCACTTAGCAAAAGAAAAGTACCTTTAACAGAACCAAACATTATGCCCTAATCCTATTACCCGAATGGGCCAAGTCTCATCAGAAAAGAAGTATTCTGAACAAAGTTTTGCAGAGTCTTGGTGGGTGACATTGTGTAAGTGACTAACTAGAATTCTAAAATAAGAAACAATCCCTTGGAATTTCAGATCTGACTTAGAGCAAGCATACTGTGACCCAAAGAAGTGATGATGTTTCATACTCCAACTTGTACAGTAAAACCAAGTCGTTTGTGAATGGAACAAATCTTCATGCTGTTTGCGTCTCCATTTATAACTAGTTGCGCACCAACTATATTCAATTTTTCTTGAGGTGATAAACTAATTTCATGTAAGTTATTTCATTGACACAAGTTAGCTATTACATTTTCTTTCACAATTTAAAACCTTCCAGTGGGACCTGTCAGTGCAACAAAGCAACAAGAAAATGGGTGCCTGACGAGCGCGCCCTCACGTGGCCTCTGTCCTGTGGCCGCCTCGATGGATCGCAGGTCCTCAGACCATGGCAGAGGCCTCTCAGGTGCTTCTCAAGGGTCAACTCTTCTCCTGAGCTACAGGCCCAGTTTTATCACTAATTCTCTGCAGTAAAAGAAACAAAAACCAGAAGCATTATTAGCTTAACCAGTTCTGGCCATTACTTGAAGTAACCACAACTGAAACATCAATTGTGACAGTTAGCTATGACTTTTCCTGAAAGAGTTGGCCTGGCTGCTTTTCCTGGTAAGAACTTTTAAAATATCAAGTTCAGCACTACATAAAGACAGAAGAGGCAGGGTGCTACCCGCAGGAGAGGACCATGACTCCTTGGCTGCTCTGCCACAGGTCGTCATGTGGACCTGCGCTCATGACGTGGTCACTGAGTCACCAGCCCTGACCCCGCTCTGCTGCCACCTTGTGAGCGGGGGCTTCGAGCCTGCTTTCCCTTCCCTCTATGACCCTGAAGACACAATCCTGTATGCACTGCATCGAACCAGGGACTCGGGACCCCTCCCTCCCCTAACCTCTCCCATCAGGTAATGAGCACTGCTCACCTTTGTGATACTGATTCTTCCACTTAAAAAGTACATCTCATACTGTACAACTCAAAAAAAATTAACTTATATTTCATTTTTTAATAAAAAATTCCTGTGAACCAGAGTGGAAAGTAACAGGTTTGAAACCTCCAGAACTGCTAGGAATCACTCATTTCCACCCACTTAGTGAACCCCAGGAAGGCCAGGAGGTCTGTGCCACATCCACCAGGACACGGCTAAAGCAGAAAGTACCGGGAGCTTGGATGCAAGGCAGCCTCATCACCGACCAGAAACGAAAGCTTCCGAAGCCGGCACAAGCACAGGGTGCAGCACCCCTGCCTGGCCGGTGCAGGTCTGGGAGACCTGACTGCAGGCGGAGTCCCACACACAGTGCACCTGCACCCACTGTTAACGCCTTGCACACCCAGATGGTAAGATGGGGTGGGTCACTTACATGAACTTCCTAAGAGACTGAAATTCAAATTCCATTACAATGTGATTGATTTACTTTCTTTAAAAAAAGCTGGTAAGATATCTAGATTACCTCCCCTAATATTTATGTATTAATAAGTGTCCAACCTTGAGAAGAACCTTTGATAAAAATAGAAATACTCTTTAATTGTATCAACTTGTTTTATAACTCAGCAAGTTTATAAGGAAACATTGACTGCTGCCACTGGGTCCAACTCCCTTGCTAGCTCAGTCTTAAGATAGCTGCCCAGGCCTTGTCTCTGCTCTCCTGATGCCACCGGCCTGGCTGGGGACACATACTTACTGTGACCTGGCCGGCGCTGTCCCCATGGATGTTGAGGAAGGGGTTGGTGGCTGTGTGCAGAGGGGGTGCGGGGGCTCCGGTGAGCAGGCTGTTCATGGGGAGCTGCGTGGGGCCAGGCAGCTGCAGTGGCTGCAGCTCAGGCGCGTGATGCTGCGGGTGCTGATGTATGAACTGGTACAGGAAAGCCTGGTGCTGCTCCTGCGGGGACACAGGGACAGTTCCCAGTCACCATGCTCTACAACAGGAGAACTCGCCCTCTTTTTCCTGAATATCAGGCATTTAAATGTAAGTCTCACAAAAGAACATGAGCACCTCACCCAGAAAACAGGCTGCACTAAATAACATCCACCACTACATCCACTATTATCTTGGACCAGCTTGTTTTCAAAACAGGAACCCTCTAGTTAAGTTGTCCCTGCAACTAAGTTGCAGGATTTAGAACAAATCCTAGGACCAGATCTTCTCCACATTTCAGGTTGGACATCAAACCACCATCAGAGCTTGCACTCATGACCCACAGAGGTGGGGTCTTCTCCATCTGGCTTTTCCTTGTGGCACTAGGGTTGGAGCCAGGGGCTATCTGACCATTGAGCCCCAGCCCTTTTCTTATTTTGAACCATGGTCTCACTAAGTTGCCCAGGCTGTGCTTGAATTTGTTTTCCTCCTGCCTCAGCCTCCCAAGAAGATTCAATGAAGGCCTATACCACCATACCTGGCCATTATGGGCTACTCATCACAGCAAGCACATACCCATTAAACAGATTTCCTGAGTGCTTACTCTGCACCAGGTACTTCTTTAGGATGTTATTATAGCTAAGGGGAAAGAGAAACAAGAAGTCTGGTGGGGATGGCCCAGTTCAGTCAGGTTTTTCCACATCAGGAGCACCCACTGGGTGCAGGACAGGAGTGGCGCTGATGGGCCAAGTGGCCCGAGGCAGGAAGCAGTTTGGGAGAGGTGGGGAGGTGGGGAGCCCATGGGAGAGGCAGAGTCATACAGGTCGGCCCGGAGCCTCGTGGTTCGGAGGGCCTACAGCCTTTCCTCCTGGAGGCAGGAGCTACCCATTCTCAACTGGGATTTCCTGCTGGATCCTGACTGTGACAAGAAGGACAGTGCCACCATCAGCCATGGCACTCTGAAAGACCTTTCAACAGGAAAATAGCTGGAGCCAGAAGTATGGCTTCCAGAGACCTGGGCATGGCCACCCCACCCCAGGCGCTTCCCCGGGAGAGGCAGAGAGGGAGACCCAAAAAAGGAAGGGCAGGGAGGCTGGAGGGAAGCAAGACAAGGCTGGGCTCGGGGCCTCCCCCAGACTCAGCAGGGTGGAACATCACCTGACAGGCAGAAAGCGGCAAAACAAAGAAGGGGCTGAGCAGGACTCTTCTGTAAGACGGAGATCCGTGTTTGACAACCTGGGCCGACAAGGGGTGAACTAGCATTTAAATCTCTTTAGTCTTCTACAGTAAGATGTTTGGGAAGTTCTGCATCCGGGTTCTAGAAATGCCAAGACTACATTGCTGTTGGTCTGGCTTAACCCTTAAAGGAAGAGACCCAAACATCGAGAAAGGCAGGGATAGCAAATACAATCCAGTTTAGTGCAGAGAACTTTCATGTCATCTACCATTGAATCACTGTAAGGACAGTGACAGTAACAAAGATCCCAAGTCAAAATAAGTTTTCAATGTTTTTACTAAAACAAAAAAATGTAGTTTTAGAAAAATCATAAACAAGTTGAGAGGTGCCTAGCATGATTTAAACAACAGCTCTCCAGACAGCACAACTTTGAGGGGTTTGGGAGGGCTATGGTCAGCCGTATGAGGCAACTCTCCACCCCCAGTGCTTCCTGGGCCCACCTACAGCCGCTCTCGGCTCTGCAGGCTCCTTGCACCAGGGGCTCGCTCTGCTAATCTGAGCAGGAGCAAGAGTACGCAGTGCTGGGGTTGCCCCGAAGCACCTTTTGTACTAGGTGGGCACACCAACTGCGTCTGCAGAGAAACCTTTAGGGTGGCCCAGGGGCCTCCGCTTGCTGTCACAGCCCCCACAGTTGCTCTCCACACCCCAAGACCCACGGTACTGGCTTCTGCCGAGTGACCAGGGACAGCGTCTCCCTGGCTTTTCATTCAGCTGGGAGCCTGGCTTTACAGTAAAATGTCTCAAGTCACCAGATGCCACCCTCACTTTCTTAACCTCTTACTGAGGTTTTTATACCAACTACATTGAAACCCCAAGCCGCCAACTTCTGGCCAGTCTTCCATGGCCGAAGTGGCCACCGTGCCCCTCCTGGGCCCGCTCCAGGCTGCCCACAGCAGCGCCTCCAGGGCCTCGTCTAGCTGCTGCCCCCTGAGCTTCTGTGAACACAACCCTCAGGAAAAGCTGCTGTCCCAGGCAGAATGACTTGGAAGCCACCCACCTAGGGAACCAGACACACTAGCTATACGTGCTCTCTCAGGGATGGTATCAAGAAAAGGTCTGCGCATGCTCGGGACAGGCACCAGTGGTTCTCCAGGCCTTTCTGGTATCTCACAGCAGCAGAGCCCTTGGACATGGAGGTCAAACTCTGGCCCTAGTAAAATGACTGTTTTCCTTCAAACTGGTGTCCTCGGGGCTTCCCAGGTCAGAACAATGCTCTCCTGTGTCTGACAAACCTGTCTGGATCCTACAGTCAACAGGGCTCCAAATTCCAATCTTGGCGCTGGTGTGTGACACTGCGCCCTGCCTGGCCCGGCCCTCTCAGTACAGCCCCAACATACCTCCTGCTTCACACACAGCAGCTAAATTAATCCTTTCCAACTGTGAATCATTACTGTGTCACTATTTGAAGCTCTCTAAATAATTCTTAAAATAATCCTGAGAAAGAAAACTGTAGATAGATAAAACAACATTGACAAAATTAGGGCAGTGATTAAGGCTAGGTGACACAGGAAGGGGTACGGAAGGCTTTGGTACATTCTCCTCTCCTCTTCTGGGACACCTTAGGTGCCCACGGGAGGCTCGGTGCTGGAAGGGTGGCTGGTGCTCTTTCCGGCAGACCTGCATCTCCTGCGCAGCAGCCCTCGGCCGTGCTCCCTTACCTCTCCACTGCTGCGGCCCACCTCTCTCTCTGCAGTCATCTGCCTTCCTTCTAGTCTTCCACAACACAACACATGCCCAGGTCTTTTACAACTGCTGCTCCCTCTACCTCGAGCGCGCCTTCTCTTCTCTCTCCCCTAAGTCAGAAAGGCACACTCCTTCAAGGTCCATTCGGGTCTGAGCCTCACTGGGGCTGGGGCGGGGGCGGGGGCGGGGGCGGGGGCGGGGGCGGGGCGGGGCGGGGCGGGGCAGGTGGCAGAGTGCTTCCCTAGCAGGGTGCCGCCCTGGGTTCCATCCCCAGCACCACCTCAGTGAATGGCCTGAGTCTCCTCCATCCCTGCACCCAGCTTCCCCGTGACCCTAGCAGCCCGCTGCCACCAAGTGCAGGTTCACTGTCCACGAGGAACGCTCCCTCAAGGTGTCCTCACTCCATCACTAGGCCCTGACAGTGCCACCATGTGATAGTGTTTTACTAAATGTGTAAAGTAACAAGAGACGGGACTGTCACTACTGGTATCCCAAATAGCAAGACAAGTTTTCTGGAGTATGTATTCAATTGTGTCACTTCACTACGGGAACTCTAATCCCACAATGAGTATCTATTCTAGTCTACAACACTTGCTCCTAATAAAAAATATTATCAAAAGAAGAACTTACTGGTGTGAGCTGTTGAGAACTTAACAACTGCTGAAACTGTTGCTGATGAACAAGTATTTGTCTGTGCTGGTCAGAAAGTAATCCTAGTCCTGAGGCACTGAAAAATGATTAAAATTCTTACTTTCTACTTTATACTTCTACTGTCTTTTTAAAATGTAAATGAAAGACAACTTTTTGATTCAATATTTAATAAATTAAGACGTGTTTAACCATGATATTTCAGTTTTCCAGACAGGGTCTCATTATGCAGTTCAGGCTAACCATGAACTCACTCTGTAGCCCAGGCTGGCTTTGAACTTTGTGTCGATCCTCCTGCCTCAGCCTCCCAAGTGCTGGGATTACAGGCATGCACCACCAAGCCCGGCCTAATAACCACAATAATTTTAAAACACAATTATGTATAAATTATTTCTTCTTTCTCTTTCTATAATGCATGTATACAACTAAGTAAGAATTCACATGGTCAAGAAGCGTTTTCTTTTTATTATAAACAGAAGAAAAAAAATTTTATGGAATAGAAATTTACATGTGTTTATTTTTGATTATTCAAGGATAATTTAACCCATGCTAAGATACACATAGTCAAAAGAAAGAATCTAAACATACCACTGATTTGACTAATTTTTTTAATGATCCCAATTATTTTTTAAGTAAGCATCAAGAAAAAGAAAGCCAGAAAAAATAGCTTACTAGTACCCAATACAAATTATTTAAAATTATTCCTCAAAAGTATGCTTAATAACAACATGGCTTTAGTCTCCTCATATTGAACAAACAGTCATATGAAATTCTAGTACAATGAAACCAATGAGTTTCACTTCCTGGAAACTCAAGATAAATATTTACCCTCTACCTTATATCAAAATCTTTGATTCAAAATTAACAAAATTACACTATTAAATTTTAAGAAGCATCACCATGATATCATCTTTCTTCAGAATGTAGAATACATAAATAAAATATACACGGGGATAAGAAAAAACAACATTTACATCACAGATCAAGACTAAAATTTTCAACAGAATATATGTAATACTTTGTTATTAAAATTTATTTTAATTGATTCAATAAGAATTACCTACGTTTCAAAAATAAATATACTCTGGGTAGCATATGCCTACTTTAAATTTGGGGTAGACTTTATTTTCTTAGATGCATCTACAAAGAACAGTGAAAATCCCAAACTAAAGCACTGACAATGCTTGTTCTATGTTGCAAGAAAACCCAAGATATATTGACAGAAGCTTCTCACCTGTTAGTCAGCGTGGCTGGCATTGGATGTGTTGCGTTAGGTGGTACAGTTGTGTGAGTGAGGGGGGCAGGGTTCTGGGACAGGGTGACAGGGGTCTGCATCACCCCGTTTAAAGCTCCTACAATGCCGTTAATTGCCAGCTGGTTACCTGGCAAAGCTCCAATTAACCCCCCCACTGCGGTGGCGGCAGGGATAGAGGCGGCCACGGGCTGCATGCCACCAGCCAGCGCCCCCACCGTCATGCCGTTGATCTGCTGGACCCCAGGGACGGCAGGGACCTGCTGTGCCGGACTCTGGCCGGCAGGCGGTGGCGTGGAGAGGGCAGAGGAGCTGCTGGTACTCTGGCCACTGGAGGTTAAGTCCTGCTGGGAGAAGAGACACTGCTCACACACATCCCAAACCACTCAGTGCGCGAGGCGATGGGTCACAGACAAAGCATACAGGACCACAGCCTTGAGAAACTTACCTGGTTTAATACAGGAAGAGAGCTATCGGGTAAAAAGCTGTTTCCTATATGAGGGCTCTTATTGCTGTTCAAGGAATCAGCAGTTGGAGCTAGAATAATAAAATCAAAAAGTTTATTTACCCTGTTAAAAAACACTTTCATCAAAAAAAAAAAAAACCCCACTTCTGTCTTGCCATTCCTATGGCCAATGTAAGTAGAAAAAACCCATATCATTTTTCAATATCGCAGCTGTACATCAATAATGAGATCATTATACATTTAAATAAATGTAACCACTAAACTTGTACTACAGAAGGGGGAGCAAATTCAAGCCAATCAGTTAACAAGATTCTCTATGCCCTTCAAAATCTGCCCATCACTCTGCTCTACGTCTTCATGGTGGAGGCGCCGCGCTTATTAGGCGGGCGCGGGGAGGGCAGCTCTCCCTGCACCAACCCAGCACTCACCAGTCTGGGCGGAAAACGGGTGCAGCTGCTGCGATGGGCTGAGGGCCACGGCTATCGCTGGGAAAGGCACTGAAAGCTGTGCGTTCAGTAACTGAAGACGCTCCTTTTTGGCAGTTAAGTTTTTAATTTGTTCCTCCAATCTTCGATTTTCTACTTGAAGTTGGTGTAGTGACTTCAGCATTCCTAAAACTAGTGAACATTTTGATGATTTTTAAGAAAGAGAGCCCATACCCAGAACTATTTTATGGACACAGGACTAGTAACTTTAGAAAAAAAGTCGGGATGGGAAGAGCTCTACAAAACATTTCTGAATGATCAGTTTATTCTGCATGGGTGTAAGATGCACCACATCTCTGGCCGTGTGAACAGGAACTCCAGTGAGAGGGCTCCGAGACATAGCATCTGGAAACCGTTGCACATACCAATAAAACTGTCAGATGCAGGTCTCTTCCATTTTCAAAACTAAAATGACAGCATTTTACTTTCCTCAAAACAGCTTTATTAAATATTCAAAGCGCCTGCTGAGACTTTTCAATGAAGTCGCATTTACGGCAGGAAAGAAGCACCACAGAGCACATAGATGTCCGTTGACGTGCGCATGCTGAGAAGCACATATTTTGTTTCTTGCTCAGTTTGAGCGGAGCACGCCAGCGCCGATCTAGCTCAGCGGTAGAGGAGGGCTTTCAGCACGCCGCAAGGCCCTGGGTTCCACACCCAGCACCAAAGACCTCAGCCAAAACAAACGCCAGCACATTCGGAAGCTGCAGGCAAACAGCGGAGACAGACGGCTCCCTCTACGTGCTGCTGCAGGGCACCCAGGAGGGGGCGCTGGGCACCTCTCCTCTCCGGCCGCTGCTGCTGTGGGCTCCGCCCAGTAATCACAGGACACTGTCGATAGGTGGTGGTGAGGATGATTTAAAAGTCCACTCATTAAAAAGTTTAAGGGGACCTCAGGGCCTTCAAGAGAGCCAGCTTTACAGAAACCCAGAGGGCCCTTTAACTTACATTGTCGCTCCTACAAAAGGTCCCAAAAGAAACCCCTCCTGTGTCTAAATGAAATGCACCAAGAATAATAAGCTAACCCTATCCTCTAGCTATCAGGTTGAAAGGATTATCTCGGCATGAATTTCCTGAAAATTTGCATTTTTTGTTGGGCACCATTCATAACAATACAGATTTACAGCACACGGCTCATTAGTACTTTTTTAAAAAGCTTTGTTTTAATAAAGCAGAAGTTCATATCCCAAAGTGATGGAAACCACCTATTTTCCCCAAAATACACATATGCCTGACACCAGGTCATTTAGCTAACTGCCATTTGTTCTTTGTTTTGCTGCCATTTTTCACCATGGTCCTAAAACTTAAAATGTAAGTAAGTTAAATATGTGTATACAAGATAAACCATACATGACTGAATATACTAATTACATTTATGATGTAATTATTCTTTTTAAATTTATTTCTAAATTATACAATTAAGAGGAGTGACATAACTGTCTATAAGCAGTTTTTTAAAAAAAATTCTCCACAAGTGAGGAAGTTTTCTTCCAACAATTAAGTTTAAAGATGGCAAAGAACAAATTACAATGCTATGGAAACAAGTACCTATAGTAGCTGTAACTATAACCAGCTAACAGAAGGTGCTTTCTATGATCCAGGCACATGGTCTTTATGATTTTCACGTCTTTTAATCCTTACAAACAACCACAATATAGATGCCATCTTACTCCCCAATTCTACAAAGGACAGCAGAAGAATTCAAGAGAGGGGCCCCAAAAAGACAGAGTTCAAGTCAAAGCACTACCACTGTAGAACTGGTTCCATTTATCTCTGTGTGACATTTTCTTGTCAAGTTATACAGAATAATTTTATCACTATTGTGGATAAAAAGTGGCACCCGCATCTGCCCCACCTTCATTTGAAGACAGAAAAATGAGCACTTACTGTCACTCGGTGTGCCCTGCTCTAACAGAAACTGCTGTCCTTCACTCCACTGCCTCTCCAACAGCTGTTCTATGCTGGCCGCTACTGGAGGCAGGCTGTCCAAAGTGCTGCTACTTGGCTGATCATAGCGGATCTGTAAGTTGCTCACTGGGGACCTGTGGGAGACATGGGCACCTGAGTTAGAAGGAAGGGAAGTGCTTTCAGGGAGCGCAGCTTCAGGTTTCTCACCTCATCCCAACTAATGGTTCCTTGACAAGCTCTCTAACACCAGGTGGCCTACCAGAAGGATCAGGTTCCTGGGTATATACAACCATAACAGACCCTAAAACTGAGTAATTATCATTCTTCCTCCCTGTATTATAAAAATCAAAGGAATGGCTGACACGCTGAATAATTAAAACCCACTAGAATATATAGGCACACCACCAATAATCTGTGAAACAAGAAAGAATTTGGCTTTATCAGGCAAAAGCCAAAGACAAAGACTGGAAAGATTTTAAAAAGAAGAGTTCCACTTTTCTGCCTTAATAGACATGCTATTAGCATAGACTGCGTTATAGTATCATGGAAGGTATCTGAATTTACAGTCAATAAAATGTCAATCAAATATGAAAAGAATAACTTCATAAAACAGGGTCTTGCTTATATAGTTCAGGCTGGCCTCAAACTCACAGCAATCTTCCTGCCTCAGCTTCCCAAGTGCTGGAATTACAGGTGTGCTAGCTAAACAATTCTGAAGCTGTTTTTTGTTATAAATTAAAAACTATTTTCAATACTAAGGAATGTCATTCAAACCAAAGCAATGTGTAAATCCATTATAAAAACGTTTCTTTTTTTTTGTCTTTTTCTTTTTTTTTTTTTTTTATCGGTACCGGGGATCGAACTCACAACTGCCTGCTTGCAAGGCAGGCGCTTATGCTGCTGAGCTAAATCCCTAGCCCCTATAAAAACGTTTCTAAAATGATAACCCTTCCAAAACAAATTTTACTTAAGATGAACATGTATCTTCAATTGGTAAATGGGGCTATTTCTGCTCTCTAGCTTTCCTATGATGCATCAGGAAGCATGTCAGTTCCCTAGGCTCCATTGTTCCCATGGATGCCAGGGGCAGTACCACTGCCCAGGGAGCAGTGAACACTGAGCACAGGCTTCCCAGCACCTCCAAAATCATGTGTGGCGCACCACACCTAAGCCTGCTAAGGCCTGTTGGTGCTGGTGCTGTGCTCATCACCCTTAGCAACTCTTTGTACAGAACGCTCTTACACATGAGCTGCAGCACAGAAGGCTTCTATCTCCTCCACAAGTCCAATACATGACATCCAGTGGCCATTAGCTTCTAACACCGCATACAGCCAAATAATCCATCACACTGCAGTCGACTTCTGAACAATTTAATCATTTTACATTGTTTAGTCAATGAAACCCAGTATTTTAATTAATACCCACTAATAAAAATACATCATTTAAATTTTTTTTACACCAATTTTTTTTTTGTCTTTTTTCTTTTTATGGTACCGGGGATCGAACTCACGACTGCCTGCTTTCAAGGCAAGCGCTTATGCCACTGAGCTAAATCCCCAGATCCCTTAAATTTTTTTTAAAAACCACCGCTCATGGCTCAGTGTGGTGGCACATGCCTATACTCTGAGAGGTTGAGGAAGAAGGATCCCAAACTCAAACCAGTTCTGGTGATTTAATAAGATCCTATCCAAAAATAAAATTTTAAAAAGAGCTGGTGATGTAGCTCAGTACAAAGGCCCAGTACTGGGAAAACAAACCAATCCACTAAGTAAAATAGCACTTAGGAATTTTAAATAATTTCTGGGCAATGTGTGTGATATTTTAGCTTTAAAGTGGGAATAAAGAAATGCTTTCTCCACTAAACATATGAGCAAAATTCCACTAACTACTTTTGGGGGGAAGGGAAGAAATTTAACAGGGGCTAGAGTAATAGCACACACCTCTAATGCTAGCAGTCTGGGGCAAGAAGATCACCATAAATTCAGTGCGAGCCTGTACTATATACTCAGCTCAAACCCAGTCTAGACTACATAGCGAGAGCCTGTTTCATCCCTCCTACCCCACCCTACCCCCCAAAAATCTGGGAGTGGTGGCACATTTCTATAATACCAGAATTCTGAGAGGCTGGGGCAAGAGGAGCTCAAATTTGAGCCCAGTTTTGGTGCTCACCAAAACCTCCACCTTAAAAAGAAAGAAACAGGGAGGGTAAGGGATGGGAAGAGAGAATTTAGAACATAGCTTGGGCCCTGGGTTCAGTGCCCAGTACCACCGAAAAGCAAAAGAAAAAAATACATTAGCATAGAGGCATACAGAGTCACAGACCACTTGAGATTCCCAGTTTCCAGGGAAGGAACATTTAATCTTCTGCAGAGGTCAATCAGGAAAAACAATACTACTTGTCATTCACCAGGGAATTACACAGAAAAAAGGTAGTAACAGAAAACAGAAAAATTAGAAGTTACTGACTAATGGCTATAATAGTGAAAATGTTCCTTAAAGACCTCCTCAACTATATCCGCAACACATGAAAATCTGAAATTTTAACAGAATGCCTTCCACACATGAGGACCCTAGACAGAGTTCCCCTCCTGTTCTCTATTCTCATTCAGTCCGGTGTTGAAGCAGAATTTATGGAATTAGAGATCACAGAGAAAACCATCTAGAAGAAAGTGCAAAGTTAAAAAGTGTAACAAAATAAAATAGATACCATTTTCCCCATTTGGAACAGAGGAATGACACAATTCTTCACTTGATTTCCACATTTATTCACCAAATAGGCACCTAAATGTTATGTAGCACTTACAGTGATTTCACAAAGCTCCTCGAATAGCTGTGCAACTCTGCTTCAAACAATGAAGATGGACCTTACAGTCTGGCTATCAGAGCCCCACAACCAAGTCAGAATTAGAGGATGAGGAAAGAATATTTTCCACAAGCCCAGGACTGAGCTAAACGGAGTTTGCAACTTTAAGACATTTTTAAGACTATTTTATAAGCAAGAATAATCACTCAAGGTAATGAACTAATAGTAGTAGCAGTGAAATAAGTATACAAATTATAAAAGGTTCAAACATAAGAAATATATTCCTTCGGCTTAGGAATTCATAGTGTTGAAATTAATATGCAAGTTCATTAATCTGACTGGCCTGCCTCTTCACAAACACTTCAAGAACCTCACAGACACGCCTGACAGAGGGGAGCCCATCTCCAGCGCACCAAGGTAGTAGGGCACTCACCTCGGGGAGAGGCTTCCTCTGGGCGAGCTTCCTCTGCCGACCAGGCTGTGGCTGTTGTCTCCCAGGTCCTGATCTGCAGTGTAAACATTTCAGAGCTGATAAAATGACTTTCCCAGGATAAGAGGCTTTAAACTCTCACCCTCATTCCCTGAAACACACATTAAACCTTTTCCACTACCTTTCCAGTCACAAGGAAACTGGAAGCTAGCATGCTGCTAGCTGAGAACTACTGAAGTGCAGCGTATAAAGCATTATTCCTACACATTTCTGTGGGGATGGAAGGTAATGGATTGTGTTCTGTTCTTTCATTCCTTTCAATTTTACAGCACAGAAGCGTGGTTTGAATTTGCAGTACCCACCCCTCAGCCCCTTTTAATTTCTACAGCTAAAGTAATGAATCACAGCTGTAGATAGCTAATCTGTATGCTTATCACAGCAAATCCTTATGCTTTGTATTTTTAACACTTTGCATTCCAAAAAGTCATAGAACACATTTATATAGAGCCTCATGTGAGACTAAAATTATGTGACATGAATCCACACAGCAAGCATAAATTTTCAAATTGATAAAAACAAAGTTAAAGAAAAGTTTAAAAGAAAAAAATGTAATACTTCTAAACTCTCCAAGAGTATCTCTGCTTGAAAAGTAACTTGCATTCCCATGCAGCTAGCTCTCAATAAAACCGCCCTCTCTCTCACGCCTCTTTCAAGGTTATCTTTTCCTTTTTCTGAGTCAGGTGACCTCTGACCCTGAAGGGTGAGGACAGGACTGATCCATTCTTGATGAAATGCTAACCTCATGCCCTGCCCCCCAAACAGGCCTGACTACTTGGACATGTCAACAAATTCTTAAGGGGGGAGTGACACAGAGCAAATCCAGGGGCTCATTAAAATAGTACAAGAGACAAATGCTACGAAATGTCAACTGGTCAAAATTCACAGGATTACTAAACACTGTAGAACTTCTCTAACAGGATTTTTTTAAACCAAGTTTGTGTAATGCAATTTCATGAATTATGCAAATAAAGGTCCAGCTAGTCACAGAAAAGCCCAGTGTTACACATTACTCTCACTGCACAGAAGTGAGGACCGAACACATCAATCATAGAATTCACAGGAGACATTTGCGTTCCTGTCTGCTGATGGCTCTGCTTAAACTTTTACATTTCAGACAGTAAAAAGGGGGGGGAAAGCACATGGCTATTTTGTAGCACAACATACTATTTACTTTCTTCCAACTGGGATTCTTTTGTTTTTAAAAAGAGGGTGGGAGTAGCGACCCCTCTATTAGCCATATCTCTACCAATAAACCTTTTCTGTGAAAATGAACCAATAGAGAAAATATTGCACTGGGGAGAAAATTTTAAACTCTTGAAACCTTACCTGTTTGACTGTTTTCAGACTGAGCTATGAGAGCTGCCACTGCTGAATTTGGATTTGATCTGCTTCCATACATGTGAGACGGTGCCTGGCTAAGCGAAGAGCCAGACAGGGTATTTGCCTAAACAGAAAGCAGTACAAGCACAAATGAATGCATCTGAAAATATCTTGTTTTTCCACCTAACAGACCTACTAACTATTCCCTCTAGCCTCAGAACATAAACAGAAATTCGTGACTTTCTCAAAGTATCATTTTTCCTTGCTTTACCATTCCAACATGTCAATTTTTAAAGTTACATAACCACTGTATGCTTTTAAAAGACTGGCAAGTTCAAAGTATCCAACCAACATTAACAACTGGTAGTATAGAAACCACGTGGACACATGACTAATTATTCAAACTTACTAAACCATTTATAAAGTAAGAGCAGGTAGACAACAGATGTCTAACAAATCTACCAGTCCTTTTCATCACAAGCTGGCTAAGGAGGTCAAAAGGTTCAATCCTAACTTCCAGTATTTCAGCTATGCAGAGCCGTATTTCCATTGCTTAACTCTGCCATTAGTAAAACCTGCACACTGCTTTGTTATTTCCTATTTTGATAGACTTGGAAGCCTGCTGCTTTTTCTGTTTTGTTTTGTTTTTATTTTAAAAGAAAGCAAACAGGCATCACAAGTATGCTTTCTATACAATGCAGGGCTCAACAAATCAGAGCTTTGCCCTGACCCCATATAAGGCACTGTCTTTTTGGCAGGAGGCCAGCTCTACTAACTGAAGAAATCCAAAGTTTGTAATTCATTCATGTTGCTAACCACAATTCTGAAGGCCTCCACTGGGAGCTGTGCCAAACAAGCGAAAATGAAGCCCTAAACAGATGAAGCTGATGCTGAGGAGGCTGGCCAAAATATTGCACAATCCAGTGTAATAAAAATGCCTCTTTGATGTGCATATTCTCTCCTGCTTTTCAAGAATATCATAACCTTCAAATATGCCATTTTTGAAGCAAATCTTTTATACATAAAATACTGTTACTCGCAGAATATTACTGATCTGAAATGATTTTCAAATTTAATAGAACCACATATTTTAAATCAAATCTTTTTTTTAAGAAGTTTGAAAGAATTCAAAATTAAGTTTTTATAAAGTAAAATCACTACATGGTCAGTTCAGAGCAAAACTCTTGACCATAACTTCAAAAACCTGAACCACTTGTAACACAAAGCTGAAAAACAGCAGAACAAAAGATTGGAACATTTGGACATGTTTAACAGTACACAAGAGACAATGACAATACAGTAGTCACAACAAGCAAAATGTTACAGAAAATAAATTGTCTTTCTGAATAAATTTATAACCTGACATTTTTATCTTGGCCTTTGTACAACTTATTAAGCATGGAAAATACACTTTCAGAATTCACAGAAACTGTCTTTTTTTTTTTTTTTTTTTTTGGTCTTTTTCGTTTTTATCGGTATCAGGGATTGAACTCACGACTGCCTGTTTGCAAGGCAGGCGCTTATGCCACTGAGCTAAATTGCCAGCCCCCACAGAAATTGTCTTAATGACATAGAGCCCTGTCCTTGCTTTCCACTGTTTCAAAGTATGTATTTAACAGACTACACTTTAGTCTGTAAATTCAACCGGTTGATTTTCGGAGGTTGCTCCCCTCATTAGTGATATGCATAAAGTCAATAAGTATGTGCTATTAAATCCTGTTAAACAATCATTCAGCTCTCAGTAAAGGTAAGTCACAACTTCAATTTAAAGATATTGGCCACTTACTATGTAGTTAATAGTTTAGGATACATAAAATCCACTATTTTCAAACTCATATGTTACAAGATTTTGTTACCTTTCCAAAAGTTAACTACCCAAGCATCTCAATTACTCATAAAATATATGAGAACAAGGAAAATACAACCAAACCAAGAGAACCAATTTAGTCTTAGACACAATTCCAAAAAGATCAACTAGGTATATTATAGATTAGAAGTAGAAAATAAATAATAAGGAGGAAGAAGTAGTATCTTCAAACAGTTTTTCAGAAGCAGTAAGTAACAGCTGACAAGAAGAAAGGAGAGAGGACATGTGAGGGAGACTGACAGCAGATTCCAGCATACTGGTGAAGTGGTCCTCAAAGAACAGAGGCTCCCAGATGCGTGAGCACCTGCACCACAAAGCATCTTATTCTTAGCCTTCTAACGTTCCATTTTTATGCAGCCATCTATGTTATACCCTGGCTAAAGCACAACTAATAATTTACCAGCTGGAATTCCTTTTTCGCTCCAATTATCAGTCTCACAAGTTGCCTCAATTGCTTGATAAGAGTATCAAAACTATAGCACCCTTTTTTAGGAAGGGTTTTTTTTCTGCCAAGGACTTCATATTTATCCTTAGCAGCTTCAAATTTCGAAGTATAGCACTTTCTTGACGTAGTCTCCAAATTTTCTTATTTTTCCTGCACCTTTCAGACCCACTATAGCAAAGATCAAAATAGAAACCAGAGCAGCATAACACTAATCTGCATAATGACATCATCAGAACGAGAATAGGAAAGTCTGTTTTTATAAAAAGTGGCTGGTGAAAGCTAGTAACAATAAGGTAAAAGAAGAATACTATCCAAAATGACCAACTTCACAAACCATCTGGATGACTCAGATATAACCAAGAGTTCTATTTTTCCTTTTTAAAACAAAAATCTAATCAACATTACCAGAAGGAAGGAAGGAAGGGAGGGAGGGAGGAAGGAAGGGAGGGAGGGAGGAAGGAAGGAAGGAAGGAAGGAAGGAAGGAAGGAAGGAAGGAAGGAAGGCAGGCAGGCAGGCAGGCAGGCACAAGAAAAATAAGAACAAGTTATTTCAGACATTGTTTTGGTATATTAAAATGTCTAAGCCACTCTGCATTGATTTCTGTTTTTAAAAACTCAAGTTATGACATCATTTTAAAGTGGGCAATCTGAATTAACAAAGATTCCATAAATGTCTGCCACAGCAGGTAATATACACTAATAGTGTTTGGAATGTGTGGCAGGAGGAACCCCTGAAGACCCTTTCTTTGGTACTTCCAGGCAAAACATGAAGAGGCGGGGGGGGGGGGGGGGGGGACACGACAGAAAAGCAAAGGAAAAGGCAAGGCATGGAAAGAGAAAAAAACTTACAAAACTCATGTGAGTGAAAAGATTCACAACTTAATAGCAGAGATGATGAAAGTGAAAGAGTTGGGGAGAAAAAGACAATTGAAAACAGTATACAAACAGCAACCGGCATTTTGTACACCAAAAAATCTCTAAGAAATGCACTGAAAGCGAATTGTTAAAGTATCATACATCTCCTTCAGAGGATTGGATATGAAGAGCAGCCATTCTCTTTTGGAAGGGTACCTATGTTGACATTTCAGCTTTATCCTACCAGCAAAGAATGATGGCTGCCATGGAGCAGTACTCTCCTACCATTTACTTATTACAAGCACAAGAGTCTGTGAGTAAGAGAGCTGGATATTCACAACATGTAATGTGAATGCTGCAGAGCAGGGATGGCGAGCCTTTTGAGGTCCACTATACAAACAGTCTGCTGTGACACAGGTACCAAAGGTTTGCCACCACTGCTCAGTGCTCTTACAACTTTTCTACATACCTAGAATTATTTCAAACTAAAGTAATATTGCCATGATAAACCTCTGCTTTAACTTACAATATAGTATTTTAAACAGGCTTCCTTCTAAGATTAGAAAGAACCTCTTCCACACTCAAGATGTTACATTTATTCTAATACTAGTAAAAATCTCATTAAGAGAAGTGTAATTATTTGCACAAGATAGTCTCCAAAGATCAGCAGGTTAAGAACGGATTGATTATTGAAGTCCAAATCATATTTAAACAAAATATGTCTAGGTATCTTGAGTTAAAGAACACTGTTAACAAACTCAGAATATCTACGAACAAAAAAGTAAGTCTCTATCAAGGCAGTATTCAAACTCATGTCTCATAGAGACAGTAGTATTTCCTAGAATGACATTATCAAAAAGAATCAACAAAATAAATTAATTTCAGCTTGAATTTTCATCTGTTAACAATTCACCTCTTATATTTCAAGTGTGCTTATGACCAGATGTCTGTAAGTAGTAATTCTAGTGCATTTCAAAACTGTTAGTTGTACAATGGGAAAAAAAGTCAGGCTACATGCTCAATTATTCAAATGTATGATTTAAAGTGTGTGGGGGAGTGATTTTTGGCAGATTTTTGCCCCACCCTTATGTTGATAAAGCCAAAATTAAAAGAATAAACAAGAAAAATTAGGAAAGAATAATGCTTATGACAATGTCACCTCTACAAAATACTACAGTAATACATCAATGCAGGTGGGTTTGAAACTTCATACTTCAATCATACAGGAACAAGTTATAACATGCATTTTTAAAATGTACAATTACCCTGTCAATAAACATTAAGGTCAAATGATTCAAACACGCTATAAAATGTAGTAGAGGTTTTTCTTCAAGCTCTCTGGCACTAACACATTTTAAAATGCACTCTTCCAAAGGCTTGTCAGACTCTCTGAGTCATGTGTACTTTTAGCAGAAAAGAACCTTATTGTCACCATATCTGCCATATGCTAAGTTCTTTCACCTTGGGCAAGATACTAAATTCAGTAAACTCTCATCAATTTCTATCTGTAAAATGAGAGTAGCATTTGTATCCACTTTATAGGAATATTTCCAGAACTGAGTTAATATATGTAAAGAGTTTAGAAGACTACTCGGCATATGATAAGCATTTATATTTTAGTTTGTCATTTTAAGAAATTATTATGGTTTCAACTTTTCCATTAACTTCATTAAAATACAGTTTCACAATTACAGTCTAATGCTGGCACATTTCAAAGATTAAAACCTATTTTACAAAGAAATATTAAGTGATGCGCCTCATTATACCTGTGCGTGTGTGTGCCATGTGTTGTGGGGGTTTAACCTGGGATCTAGTAAATGCCAGGCAGGCACTGTACCAAAGCTGCATCCCAGACCCTGCAATAATATTTTAATCTATAAAACAGTAATATAGCAATACCACAAATACAACATAAGAGTTCAAATGTCTTCAAATACAACTTATATTCTTGAATTTA